TCTCATTTGGAAAGTCATCTTAGCTGCGAGTCCTCATCTTGGACCCATGTAAATCTGTTATAGAGCAGAAATATCCCATGTCCTTTATAAGTGTTCAGCCATTTTCTTCTTCTGACAGGGAAGCTAGCCCCAGTGTTTTTCACCAGAACATCTTACTGTTATATTCTTTGTTTTTTCACTGCGAGCTTTTTTTTTTTTTAATGTATTTAATTTTCTGCTAGTAACCTCCCAATTGGCCAGCTCACCTCCCCAGAAGCAGTTTGATGGAAGAATCCCAGTTACAAACTGTAAAGTGATGAGGCCTTGTTTTTTACTTCCTGGTAAGACTATTAACTCTCTTTAGCTTAGATGAAAATGAATAGTTTTTCTACTCTTTCCTTCCACCATTGCCAGCATAGCCATGGGGAAGTACAAAGGAGGAACCAGACAAAAATGCTCCACAGCCATTTTGCACAGTAAATCTTGCTGCTTCAAAGCTGGCTTAACTACATGTACTTATATTCTAAAACCAGCTTAAACAGGGGTAACCCTACAGAATGATTATGCCTACATGTGCATGAATTGTTTCTTGCAGACATGCAAGATAATGATACTATCCAACTTCTTAAAATGTGTATATCTGTATATGCACTAGATACATACTCACAAGAGTGAATCCAAGTTCTTTATATCTGCTAGAAGCCAACAACTTTGGGCATCCTTCCTCTGACAAAAAGGAATTTGCTTTTCCTAATATTTATTGCTGAGGACAGGAGTTGGATTATCCAATTGTTGGGCCATATCTGAAAATCCAAAGCTGCCCTCTTTCTCTTATGTTTTCCTCAAGACTTTGCCCAAATTATATTCTACCACAAGGGGGGAAAGGTTCTTATATTCCACCCTGCCAACTTGTATTTTAACTACTGTATTCATAATAACTTTTCCTGGCCCAACTTCAGTTCTTTTGTGGGGAAGAATTAATAAATTTAGTCTTCGGTTTCTATCTGGTTCACAGAAAAATGTTTCCTTTTTCTGCCTAGACCATAGCAGATCTGGTGCATTTTTATGCACTGTTAATATTATATTGAATATATTTAACTTGTTGGCTGTGTAGAAAATAGACAGGCGGTATCTTTGAGAGATTTGGAGATAAAACATCTAAAACCAACTGAAGATAGACTAAATTTCTAAGACAGCACGATAAAGTTTTAGCTAAGTTGGAAAGATTCCCAGACAGATTTCTACCAGTGTGAAAGTGAATTCTGGTGATCAGATATTGAATAGTTTTGTGTTTCTTTGGAGAGGAGACAGTAAAGAGAATTAATCAGTCCTAAAGCAAAGCATGCTGGGAATATATAAAAAAAGATGGTGCCCTCTGAATGGACACTGTTCCCTCATATAATGTCATCTCCTCACATACATTGCTATCATTCTAACAGGTACACCCCCCTTCAGTGCTTTTTCTTCACACGCCCCAAGGTCCACTTTTCCTTGTTAATAATGGAATTTATATACTTGGTAACAGTCTTGCAGGTAACCTGTCACCTTTTAGTCTCACTTTTCCATTCTGTATGCAACACTTTCTCTGCAACCCTTTTCATGTGTATAACATTTCACTCTCCTAGACACTACTTGTGCACAAATTCATATGCCATCTGCTACTTTTCAACACAGATATTAAGGGTGCCTTCCTTTATAACACACACAGATCTGACCTCAGAGTCCTATCATCTAGCCTTCCTTTCCAGTGCCCACTTTTATATACATACCCCATCTCTCCTCATTCCTGGAGAACACCTAAATCTATCCTTAAAGTCCCTGAAGATATGATGATCATTAGTTTCAACTGTACATCCAATATCCTACATGGAAGTACGTATGTCTAAAACTCAACTCAGATGCTCCTCTGGTGTGTGTAGCCCCAACTCGTGATGGCCATACCCTTAAAACCTGAAATAATTGCAGTTTCTCTTATGGTGATAGATGCTTTTTCTTGAGCAAAATGATTGCAGAATGTATCTGTGTCTACAGCATAGAAATGGTATCATGATACTTCCCCGAAGTAGCCAGGACCAGTTTCCTTGAAGAGACCTTGTTGAAGGTTTTATCCATATTCAAGACAGCACCTCTCAAAGGTTGAGTGGAAATGACATTTGCAGTTCTCAGCAGCAAAGGAATTTGAGTGATTGTATTTTTTTTCTGAGCAATATTTAGACACCCACCCCCCGCCCCAGAGATGACAGAACATCAGAGGGTTGGGCTATCAGATGGAAGAGGAGAGAGGAGATGGGGGGGGGGTGCATCTGCATGTCTGTATACAAACAATAAGAATGGATTCACAAAAGAGATGGACAGAAACAGCTAGAAAATGGAGCAGAAGAGAAGTAGATTACATATAATTCTCTCCAGTTCATGTGCACGCCCGCATGCGCCTTTGCCCACAGCTTGTGCTTCCCCTCCCAGCTGAGAGAAAGAATCAGCTAGAGCAGGATGGGGAGGAGGAGGAAGAAGAAACAGGATTGATTTTGGAGAGTTCCCACCGACATACCCTACCTCAGGACCCCTAGCTGCAGTGTCAGAACACGAATGTCTTGCTGCCCATTGATTTATGAATCTGTAGTTCTTGCTCTAATCTCCCCACCCCAATTACTAATTTCTGTGAACCCTGCCCATTCCCCAAAAGGAATCCTGCCAGACAATCTGTGTCTCTGACAGTGTCTGAGCTTGGGACAATGTTGAGGCAGCTGGCCCTAACCCTGGTGTCCCCGCACTTCCACGGCAAGGAGAAGGCTTGTCAAAAAAATCAAGATGGCAACCTGTCTCTATTTTATGAGACCCCTCTCCCTGCTGCCTTCAATTAATAACACAGTACTCTCTAGTCACCACTGAGCAGTTCCTTCTCATCTCCCCCCCCCCCACGCACACACAGACGTAGACATACAGACACACGTACCCACATACACAGGACTGCCTTGTGCATGTGGGACAAGGCCCTTTGCAAAAAGGACTGAGGACTTGGGAAAGGAGATGAGTTATATATAACCCATTTAAGAGTTAAAGAGTTCTGTCAGGGCTGCTAAAATTACATGAGACAGAGCCAATGAGAAGCTGGGATCAGTGGGTATATTCAATTCTTTGAGATATTGCCAGCCAGCAGAGATTATAGAAATGCTTTTTTTAAAAAAAAAACAAAAAACCCTAATTTTGGCAGTAGGAGGACACAGGCAAAAACAGAATAGGATGGAATGTTATGAAATGTACGCTTGTTTCTTTTATAAATTCAGGGACAGCTGAAAAAAAAAGAATTCCTATCTTAAAATAGCCATTTGCCCTTAATACAGACGCAATTTAAAATCTGCCAATGACCTCCTTAAAGAGCTATGATATGAAGCAGGAAAAGTGCACAATAAAAACCAAATCTGAAAGTTCCCCAAATCCATTTAATTGGAATAAAGAGCATTCACATTAGTTCAGAACCCAAGTTGGAGTAAGAATGGAGAATATGACTACACTGTGCTACAATTGTTTTGCAAACTCAGATGGCTTATTTTTAATGCTATTGACTATTCCTGGCCATGCACAGGTTATATTTGCTGATTTTCCAAAAACTGCGTTTTGAAACTGTAGTGTATTTATTATTGAAGCTTTAGGTAATTCTTGGCATTCGGCATACTTTTCCCATCTCCCTTTTGAGCAAATTTCCAAAATGCCGTCTCCCAGTAAGTAACTATAGTATAAGCACAACGTAGTCTGGACTTCTGGATCTTGAATTTCTAATTTGATTCCACATTTCACATTTAGATTTGGCTCGTTTTTAAAATACAGATTTAGGGGAGAATTTTTCAAAGTTTGTCTTGTAACAAAATGTTTATTAGAATTCTGGTAAATATTTTCACCCCAACTCATGAAAATGTTTTTAAAACATTGATCGGTTACATAAAATGGAAAAATTAAAAGGAAGAAAAAGAAACGGGAATGGAAACTTTAATTTCTCTCCTACACAGGACGTCTTCCTACTAGCTCTGTCTCATAATTTTAGCTTAATGCCACCATGATACTGTAAATCAG